ACGTTGCTCGTGCTCGTCGTGGCAAAGGTTTCAACTCTATCTATTATCCACTTGATTATAAAAAGACGTATTAACTACTCTTTGCATCTCAAAAATCTTAAAGAAAACACTTTTGAAAATCGAAAACAGTAAGAATCACGTAATCACAAGGAACTTGAATTCTCCACTTTTTAATTATCATCATCAAATATCATAATTCATTGATGATAATTTCGTTATCCGCTAAAATACAAAAATTTTTATAAATTCGGAACAACAAATGAATACAAAAAATTCCTACTTCCCAATTATACTGTCAATCACTCTTCTATAATTTCATCTATTCAAAGTACTTCTGCAAAAATTCAAAAATCTCAAAATACCTCTCAAAAACTCCTCTCCTTTCAAGTAACCACTAGAAAACAATGAACAAAAGACTTAATAAAAATATAGAGAAATAACTACTGTTCCGAAAAATTTCCAAAAAAAAAAATCTTGATACTACTATTGATATCGCTCACAGAACAGATTATCCGGATAAAGAAAGGGATAAGAAAATACAGTCTCCAGAAAAAACACAAACAATGAAAAAAATCCTCATCAACACCCCTCAAACTTAACCCGCCTCTTCGAAGCTCGGGAGGAGGGGGAGGGTAACCAAGTCGATGCTCCTCTCCTCGCAAATAACCAGCGGAAACAGGGAGCAGGGGGAGGTTAGACTTGGATAGCTACTCCGGAAGCCGTGTTTTGCCGCGGAAGGTCGTGGAGAGAAACTTGACGTTGATCGTTGGGAGGGGAGGGGGGCAGGCCCCCCCTTGGCAGCCTTCACGTCCGCGAAAGTTTTCGAAGTAAACGCGGGGTTCCCTGCTCCCAGCCCCCTCCACCCCCTCTTCCCTCCCTCGGCGATCGATCGCAGCGCCACCGCGCCAACGTTGCAATCGTCCGCCATTATATCGATCGTGGAAAAGGGGAGATTTACCGCGTGCATGCCACCCGTGCCTTCCACCAACATATGTCATGTTATTTACGAGCCAGGCATTACTCTCTGCCCGATTTACTATATTTTATGTTACGTGGATGGACTCGCAATTCTTTCGAATCGTTCCAACGCCTGCAATCCGGTCACGTCGATCGCGCGGGAACACGAAGTGCGTATGACGTCTCTTCGCACCATGCCTCCATTATGTCAACCTCCTCCTCTACCTTCTCAATCCAATCCCTCTCGTCCATTATATTTTGTTTAATCCTTGCGCGTGTCGATGTACGTGTATATATATATATATGTATTTTATTCGATCCAAGTTTTTCTCATTCGATTATTTTTGTTCGATCTTCGTGCCTTTCTTAAGGTTTCTCGGTATTTCTTTGGCAGGGTGGATCGTGAGATTTTGTGGAATTTTTAATATTCTTCTGGTTATTGGGATTTTGGTTTTTTATTTCTCCACTAATTTTGGAATCTTATTTAAAAAATTCGATTTTTAAGCAAAAGAGTATTTAAGATACGTAAATCTTTGTTAAATTTGTTTTGAAAACTCTTCGAATTTTAATCTTGTGTTGGTATTTTTCTATTGAAAAATATTAAAATTATATCTTGGAATCGTAATATTTGTATTAGTATTTCTCCAATGATGTAAAATTTTAATGTTTCTCTTATCTTTATTCCGATTTTGATTTATTTTCCAATGATTTTCCATTACTTTTTCCTCCCTTTTGTCTATATATTCGTGGGATTTTAGACTGAATTTTAGAAATATTTGAGAGGATTCAAAATAGTAGGATGAAAGGAGGAGATGCGAGGGTTAGATTCGCAATTTTCGATAGGAATCGGAAGTCAAGCGTCTCGTTACCGGATGGAACGTGTAAAAATTCGGTGGATCAAGGGCTCGAATTGCATGTCGGGTGATTGAAAACTTGTGAGTGACGGGTTGAGAATGCATTCTGGTTCCAGGGGTGATATGGCGACATATATTATCCCGAGAGTCGCTCTTCTATTCTTTGCAATGACTGGCCGCCTTTCTCCAATGGTCACCGTCAAACCTTTGAGATTGGTATCCTTGATCCATTGATATATTCCAGGGAAAAAGCTTGGAAAGATAAAAGTAACCCCTTATCAATTTTACTTTGGAATTCGAATTTCGTTCCAATTTCTTCGATTGATTAGAAGAGGATTTTTTTTTTTTTTTTTTCATCCTGTCTTCCAATAATTTTTCAAACTTTGTAACAAAGTCGGAGAGGAAAAAGAGAGAGAGAGAGAGAGAGTTAACGCGAAAATTTGAAGTGAACGCAACTCGCGCTCGAAAAAAATCGGATAATTTTCTTCTTTTTTGAGGTTGAAAATTCGCAATTTGTATTAAAATGAATCTTCAAAATCTCTTAGCAATTTCCTAGCAAAAATTTTATCTCCACACTTCGAAAATCGAATACCACTTCTTCGAATAATTTTCCAAACTTCATAATAATTTCAATAAAAAAAAAAAAAAAATCCGTGACTCGTCGTCGAAGAGGAAGAATCATCAAAATCAAAGGAATTTTAATTAAAAAAGTATTACCTTACACCGAACTCACGCCTTTATATCTATATCTTTTTCACTTTTTCACAAATCAACAACAATCCATTCTTCTTTAACTCGATTCCCCCCAATCATCCGTTTTAACGTACGAATCTTCTCCACAAAGTTAATCAAATCTCTCTCACCTTTGTGAAACTGTGAACGAGCGTTTTCAACAACGCTCGATACTTTCGGTTTATTAACGACATTACACCTGGCTAATATAATACACACACCCATATACACACACAGAGAAAAGAGGGATGAGTAGAGGGATGATTGATGTTACAGCGGGGAGTAACGGACCCGAGTTCGAACTGGAAACATGCAAATTTAACAGGACTTATCCAAACTTGCTTCTAAATTGATGGAATAAAGTTGGGCATTAAGTAAACAAAGTAGCTTTGCGCTTACCGCGTAAAGTTCACGCAAATTATAGACCAACCTCCCTATTATAAATCGGGCTTGCACGTTTAGGGGGGGAGGGGGGAGTGAATTAACTCCCCTCCTTGTATCGAGGTTGTGATTATGAGGTGCGCGCAAGTTTTGCTTTTCCCTTGTATCGGTTTAAGCCACGTCTTTCGCAATTATTTCGATCGAGGATATATCGCGCGATTTTCCAAGTTTTATCGGTTTTATGAGGGGGGAAAGGTTGAAAAGCTTTCCAAAGTTTGCGCGTTTAATCGGCTAGTAGTTTAATGATGTACGCGTTGTTCGTTATTAAACGTTAGAGGGGTCGAAGAAGGATCATTAATCATCGCGCGCTTAAGCGAATTGTTAATCTTTAATTAAGCGTGGAATCCCAGTAATCCGGGACGGTTATCGAATTAATTCTTTTTTCTTTCGAATTATTGGAATTTCGGATTTTCGGGGATTGGAAAATTTGGAAAAGCGTGATTCGAGAAAGAGTTTAATTCTTTATTATAGCGATTAAATGTTCGAGTTGTTATTTTTAATTTTTTAGGATTTGAAAAATTTGGAGAGATTTCGTAAGTTAAATCGATCAATTATCGTTTCTTGTGAAATTCTTTTTTTTATATATATATACTTACGAATTTTCTTACGAAACAGAGAAATTGCAATTCAGTTTTATGATTGAAACGCTTTTTTACGGGACGAAAAGCGGTTGCTTAACCGGCGAATACGTAATGCAGTGTAAAGGAAGAAATTTTTATAGCTGTTGCGCAAACTACCGCTAGTTAATAAGAAAAGTGGGGAGGAAAGTTTTCACGATACAGAAGCCTAGATTTTTCGAGATTTCGTCGACAATCTTATCGACTAGGATAAAGGATCGAGCTCGGTGCATATCCAATAGGAAGAGAAATAACGCGGGATGGATCGATTCGAGATGAGTCTCGAGCTCGCTTAGAAAGAGTTGCTCGTTTTAGGAATACATCGCTCGAGTGTATTGACATAAATTATACCTTGATTTTTCGTTCTTAAAGGAGATCTTTGAAAAAATGATTCTCTAAATCCATAAATCGTGGAACAGGAAATTTAAAATTTTTTCCGAATTAAATTCTTATTTTCCAATTTTCACCTCGAATTCTCTAAGTTCTGCCTATCTGTTAAAAATACATCCCTTTTCTTTCTTAAAATCAAATCTCTTTCTTATCAATTTATCCTCCTTCCTCCCCTCCATCACGAACGAATTGTAAATTCAATCCACTTTCCCAACTCGTCGAAACGAATATGAGGAAACAGAATCTGCAGAAGTTTTCCCATACAAGACCGGTCATCGCCACCGATCCAACCGATCCAACCGATTGTGTCACCTGTGAGTAACGCGAAAACTGCAGCACCGATTCGGGCCGAATAACGTTTAAAAAGCGGACATTTTGGAGGGGGTTGCACGGTGATGACTTCCGATTACCGCGAATCGTTCTCGAAAAATACATTTTTGCCTTTTTCCCTCCTCCCCTCCCCCATGCGGGGTCCAACGGCGTGTCGGATGGCCGGCGAATAAATAGGGGAGGAGGGGCAGAAAACAGCCCCCTCGTGTGTCGATTCGTCGAAAAACCGCGTCAAACCTACGGGAACTCGTGTATTGTTGACGCGCGAAATGAGAATCCGGTAGGAAAACGACGCTGGTTCCACCAAAATGAAAAGTGGTACGGGGAGATAAAAGGGAAATGGAGGATTTTTTTTTTCTCTTCCTTTCTTTCTTCCTTTTCTCCCTCGTTTTCGAGTAATTCGAGTACTTCGTTTTTCCAAGGGAATATTAAATGTGAATTTTTTTGTCGGTGTTTTTTGTCGAATATTTTTTCGAGTTTTTTTTTTGTTTTTGTTTTTTTTTATTGTTGTTGTTGTTGTTATCGTTGTTGGCCAAGTATACGTTTGGGGATGATAGTGAGCATTCAGCGGTTCGCAAATGTTTGCCCGTGTTTGATCGAATGTCGAGGCTGTGTACGATTGTGTGTATATTCGATATTGTTCTTTTTTTTCTATTTTTCTATTTTTTTTTTTTTTCAGATTTATTATCAGCAGGGATTAATAGCAGCGATCTGATCGAATATAGGGAGGTAATGAGATAAAAACGATTTGGATTTTGTATCTCTTGTTTCTTACAATTAAACGAAAATGAGTTTGAGAACGCGTAATGAGGAATTCTCTTTTGCAAGTTGATTTTATTTATGTTATTATAATATAATTGTTATACCGTGCTATTATAATATTTCATTTTACTTTACGTATTTCAATATTTATTTCGCTCGAAACGAAGGCGTTAAATACCATTGGGGTGAGAAATAATAGATATTAGCATCCGTGATATTCCGGGCATTGAATACGAAAACGAAAGAAACATCGGTTGTTATCGCGTGGAGGGAGAAATATGGCGTGGAAAAGTGTAGGTCGCGCGAGAAATTACCGCGAAACACGCCGGACCCGACAACTTTTTAACGAACTGATGAAGCGGATGCCTCGCTTTTATCCCCTTTTCTTCCATTCCTCCTCTCTGTTCCTCCTCCCTTAATTTTGAACGAGTCGGCCGGCCGAGTTGCCCATCCCACTGGGATAATTGAGAAAAATATAATGACGGGGCCATGTGGCGGCTTTGTGGCAAGCTTTGGACATGGACTCGAGTGGGACTTTGAAGAGGGAAGAATTATTATTATCGAGTCGAATCGAGTTTAATCGCCAACGGATAGTTTTATATAGATCTCTCTCTCTCTCTCTCTCTCTCTTTCTCTCTTTTTCTCGCTTCTTTTGTTATCCACGCTTTTATCCGCCAAACGATGCACGGTTATTGTTCTATTATCTTTATTACTTTTCGCCACCATTTCCACAGAGTATGTACGTCCTCTTCTCGACACTTTATTTATACCTTGTCCAATTATTCGAGCTGTGCTCAATGCTTTTTTTTTCTTTTTTCAATCAAAAAAATGTCGATTCAAGTGATAAATATTTATTTTTCCACGAATAAATGGAATAAATATTGTATTTGACCGTTTTTTTCTTGAAAAGTCATAATCGTAGATGGATTTTAACGTAACGAGAAGTATATTTCTTTTTCCATTAGCAAATGATAATATCGAACGATATCTTATTATGTAAACTTCCTTTCCAATTTCCAACGACACAGGTGGTTTTCCAATTCCTTATTAATTAAGATCGAAAAAATTGAATTATATTTTTGGCATCGATATAAAAAATGTTTCCGAAATTTAACACCCATGAAAAATGGAATAATATATCGAGAGTCTATTGGAAATAGATTGGAAATAATTTCAAACGATAATAAATTTCGATAAGGGAGGATATTCCAATAATCGTTAATTACCTTGATCCACTTCTCGACGAGAATTTTCTTCGTCTCGATAACGATAAATCAACGCGAGACGATACAAAAACCTATACACGCTTCATCGAGCTGTGCGATGCATATTCACCGAGATTGTGCATCCGACAATGGGCGTGGAACAGCGTCGCGTACGCGCGTATAATTAGAAGAGAAGTCATCGTCCACAATATCGCGCCACATTTATTAGATTACGATCTAACCTCGCCTCCCCCATCACGAGGAAATTATCAGCAAGCTCAGCAAGCTTAGATTATTAAGCGGATAGTTATTATACCATTCCCCGCGAATTTGTTTCTCCTATTACGGCAAGAAAAGTTTCATCAGAAAGTTTAACTTTTTTCCCAGGATCGTTTGCCTCTTCTATCGTAAGAAGAAGAAGAAGAAGATTATCACTCGATTTATCGGTTCTCTAAATTAAGATAAAGAAGAAGAAGAAGAAAAAAAAAAAAGAAACTGTACATTCCAAAATTATTTTAAAAATTGTTTATTAATCTTGAAATCTCTTCATAGATCATCCAAATAGGGAAATTTCGTATCTTGAAAATTCTTGGCAAAATCAATATCAATTGCGTTTCGATGGAATCGGTTGCATAGTAGTTGTTAATCAGAAAAATCTTCTTCTTCCGTCGATAAAAAAAGAAGGAAAGAAAAATTCGTTCTCGAGAGGAACTTCAATTTTATATCGTAAAAAAAAAAAAAAAAAACTACGTTTTGGAAATCCGAAAAATCACAGGCGTTGTAAAAAAATCGGCGGGGATATGGTGAAAATCGGGAGGCGTTGGTGTGAAAAAGACCATGATATAAATTTCTCTTGGCGAGTGTGTGCGTGTGTGTGTGTATGGCGTGGGTGGAAAAGTTGCGTACTTGCCGGTTCAACTTTGCCCCGGTGCCAATTCGATTAGAGTCGGTAGGCGATAGCTGGCCAACTTTGGTTACAGCCTTCAACTTGAATTCGCAAGAGTTTAACTTGCTCGATTATCTTTGAGGCTCGGCAAACTGGTTCCACTCGAGCAGCGAAATTTTCCTCCTCGATTTTCCTCCTCGATATCCCTCTGCATTGCGATGGAGGGGGCGGAGGGAAAAAAAAAAGAGAAAAGAAAAAAGAAAATGCAAGAAGAGGGGCGTTTTATTTTTGCAATGCAATGGATTTTTGATATGGAGTTTTATATG